GGGCCGGGTGGCCGCGCCTCCACCCCCAGCACCACCCAACCCGTCAGCTGCTGCCCCGTGCTGCTGCTGCTGCCCCGTGCTGCTGCTGCTGCCCCGTGAGTTGCCTCTCCTCCCCCGGCAGTCTGTGCAGACTGTGCGTGTGTCTGTGTACAGCTGGGGGGAGCGGCGGTGCAGCGGTTAGCGCTACGCCGCGCTACGAACCCGGCGACACGGGTTCGATTCCCGCTCACGGCCAACACCGGTGACGATTATCTGAACCGGTCCCGGGCCTCCCCTAAGTCGACTCAGCCTCAAAATGAGTACCTGGTGTAGCGGCGGTATGGAGTAAACATCGCTAGCACTGGGGGAGAGACCAAGGCGGTCGGGCGTGGTGCTGGCCACCCACCCCCTCGTGTGCTGTGCCGGCCTTCATAGGTGCTGCTACTTGCTACTAACAGCACTTGCCCCTACAGCGCTGCTAGAGGCTACCTGGGGTAGCTTTGTCTGTGCGTGGTGTGTGTAGTACATAGACACTGCTGCTGCTACTCGCTACTAACAGCACTTGCCCCTACAGCCCTGCTAGAGGCTACCTGGGGTAGCTTTGTCTGTGCGTGGTGTGTGTAGTACATAGACACTGCTGCTACTTGCTGCTAACAGCACTTGCCCCTACAGCGCTGCTAGAGGCTACCTGGGGTAGCTTTGTCTGTGCCTGGTGTGTGTAGTACATAGACACTGCTGCTGTTACTTGCTACTAACAGCATTTGCCCCTACAGCCCTGTTAGAAGCTACCTGGGGTAGCTTTGTCTGTGTGTGGTGTGTGTAGTTTTAGACTGATTTCAGGGTGCTGATTCCAAATCTGATCTCAGATTTGCTCTATCACATCTCATTTTTATGCTATCGGCATACCCCATTTTCATTGATTTTACCAGACATTAACTCTGTCACTTATGATTGCAAGTTGTTGCGAGTCAGTGACTGCTTTAGTGTTAAAATATGGTGCTGTATGTTTAGGATAGTGTGTTTACAATATCATTTTATGTAGATATCCACATTTATTTAATATTTTTTTCCGCAGTTTTTATTGAAAATGCAATATTTGATATCTCAAAAACCTGATGTGATAGACAAAAACTGATGCTGGGTTAATCATTCATTGGGGTCCTTCTCTCTGGCTGGGTTAATCATTCATTGGGGTCTTTCTCTCTGGCTGGGTTAATCATTCATTGGGGTCCTTCTCTCTGGCTGGGTTAATCATTCATTGTGGTCCTTCTCTCTGGCTGGGTTAATCATTCATAGGGGTCCTTTTCTCTGGCTGGGTTAATCATTCATTGGGGTCCTTCTCTCTGGCTGGGGTTAGACTGCAGCAGCAGCAATAGCAGTTGGTGTAGCATCCATGTTCTTACACAACACTCCACTCGCTCCGAAACACTCCACTCACCCTTCCACACGCCACTCCACTCTCTCTCACCGCCTCTCTCTCACCGCCTCGTCTCTCTCGCGGGAAAAGAGTGTCGGTGAATCGAACCGATTCCCCCGCCGCCACGATCCACACCCCACCAGCACCATGACCTCCATGGGAGTCGTCTCCGCGCTCCTGCACAGCGGCAGCAGCGGCAGCAGCAGCGGCAGGCATCTGGGGTCCCTCCTCGCCGTCTGCATCGCCGCCACCGCCGCCGTCTTAGCGGTGGTGGCCGCTCACGAAGGTAACGAGACGGGGGGGGAGCTCAAGCATCGCTCTCTCCCCTCTCTCCCGTCGCTTCAACTCGTGAGGACCGCGCGCGTGGCCGTGACGCCCATCGTGATGGTGACGGAGCACGTGGCGAGAGAGAGAGGGGAGAGAGACACCGCCAACTTCTGTATATACACAGCAGCAGCAGCAGGCATCGTCAGGGTCGGGATCGAACCCACGACCTCCTGTAGACCAGGCGAGGTAGTTGACATCTCATAGCCACCGTGATGATGACGAGAGAGACACCTCCAACTTCTGTATATACCAGCAGCAGCAGCAGGCATCGTCAGGGTCGGGATCGAACCCACCACCTCCTGTAGACCAGGCGAGGTAGTCGACATCTCATAGCCACCGTGATGATGATGAGAGAGAGACGCAGACTCCAAATATACAGCAGCAGGCATCGTCAGGGTCGGGATCGAACCCACACCTCCTGTAGACCAGGCGAGGTAGTTAACATCTCATAGCCACCGTGATGATGATGATGAGAGAGACGCAGACTCCAAATATACAGCAGCAGGCATCGTCAGGGTCGGGATCGAACCCACGACCTCCTGTATACCAGGCGAGGTAGTTAACATCTCATAGCCACCGTGATGATGAGAGAGACGCAGACTCCAAGTACAATAGACTTGGGTGCGGCTATGAGCGAAAACTTGGAAATAGTTTGAAGGTATTTGAAGTCGTTGATTGTGTTTCAGCTTTAGTGTTTTAGGTGGTCACTGTGAGTGATGCTTGAAGGATCGTGTCTTGACCATGTGGAGAAGCACTCGTGAACTGGGGAACTAGTGTGTGTGCACGTGTGTACGTGTGTGTACATGTGTTCACGTGTGTACGTGTGTGTGTGTTCACGTGTGTGTACGTGTGTGTTCACGTGTGTGTGAGTTGTGTGTGTACGTGTGTGAGTGTACGTGAGTGTGTGTACGTGAGTGTGTGTACGTGAGTGTACGTGTGTGAGTGTACGTGAGTATGTGTACGTGTGTGTGTACATATGTGTGTGTACGTGTGTGTGTACATGTGTGTGTTCACGTGTGTTCACGTGTGTGTACGTGTGTGTGTTCACGTGAGTGTGTTCACGTGTATGTGTGTACGTGAGTGTTTACGTGTGTGTGTTCACGTGTGTAAACATCGCCACTGGGGAGACAAAGGCGGTCGGGTGTGGTGCTGGCCACCCACCCCCTCGTGTGCCGTTTCGGCCTTCATAGGTGCTCGCTAACAGCACTTGCCCCTACAGTCTGTTAAGGCTACACGGGGGATCTTTGTCTGTGTGTGTTCACGTGTGTGTGTACATGTGTGTGTACGTGTGTGTTCACGTGTGTGTACATGTGTGTGTACGTGTGTGTGTGTTCACGTGTGTTCACGTGTATGTGTACGTGTGTGTTCACGTGTGTACGTGTGTTCACGTGTGTACGTGTGTTCACGCGTGTACATGTGTGGGTGTTCATGTGTGTGTGTTCACGTGTGTGTGTACATGTGTGGGTGTTCATGTGTGTGTGTTCACGTGTGTGTGTACATGTGTGGGTGTTCATGTGTGTGTGTTCACGTGTGTACGTGTGTGTGTTCACGTGTGTACGTGTGTGTTCACGTGTGTACGTGTGTACGCGTGTGTGTACGTGTGTGTGTGTTCACGTGTGTGTGAGTGTACGGGTGTGTGAGTGTACGTGTGTGTTCACGTGTGTGTGTGTATACGTGTGTGTGCACGTGAGTGTACGTGCGTGAGTGTACGTGTGTTTTGTGTATACGTGTGTGCACGTGTGTGTGCGTGTGTGCGCGTGTGTGAGTGTACGTGTGTGAGTGTACGTGTGTGTGTTCACGTGTCTGTACGTGTGTGAGTGTACGTGTTCACGTGTGTGTATGTGTGTGTGTACGTGTGTGTGTACGTGTGTGTTCATGTGTGTGAGTGGCGGTGTGAGTGGCGGTGTGAGTGGCGGTGTGAGTGGCGGTGTGAGTGGCGGTGTGAGTGGTGAGTGACGGTGTGAGTGGTGAGTGATGGTGAGTGAGTGGCGAGTGGTGAGTGAGTGGTGAGTGAGTGGCGAGTGGTGAGAGAGTGGTGAGTGAGTGGTGAGTGGCGGTGTGAGTGGTGAGTGGCGGTGTGAGTGGTGAGTGGCGGTGTGAGTGGTGAGTGAGTGGTGAGTGGCGGTGTGAGTGGTGAGTGGTGGTGTGAGTGGTGAGTGAGTGGTGTGAGTGGTGAGTGATGAGTGAGTGGTGAGTGAGTGGTGAGTGACGTATCTCTCCACCTGCCCCCGCCCCCCAAGTCTCCACGACCACGGGGTCTGGTGGCCCCCCCCGCTGGAGCCGCATGTCCGGCTCGCTGTCCAAGCCGCTGTGGGTCGTGCCCAGCGGCAGCAGCGTCAAGCTGCGCTGCCTCGCAACCGGAGTGCCCACGCCCTCCGTGGCGTGGCACCACGACGGAGGGCGCCTCCACGGCGGGGAGGAGCGGCGCCTCGGGGCCTTTCGGGTGAGCAGGGCCGGGTGAGCGGGCTGGGTGAGCGGGCTGGGTGAGCGGGCTGGGTGAGCGGGGCCGGGTGAGCGGGGCCGGGTGAGCGGGGCAGGGTGAGCGGGGCTGGGTGAGCGGGCTGGGTGAGCGGGGCCGAGGTGAGCGGGGCCGGGTGAGCAGGTTGGGTGAGCGGGTCGGGTGAGCGGGTTGGGTGAGCGGGTCGGGTGAGCGGGTTGGGCTTCACATTCATATTTAGGTTATTTTGGTAAAGTCACTGTGTAGGTAAAAAATTTAAATTAATAAAAGTAAAATAAAAATGAAATAAAAATCACGACGTTTCGGAGGCAACAAAAGCTTCCGAAACGTCGTGATTTTTATTTATTTTATTTTACTTTAATTAATTAAATTTTTTTACCTACACAGTGACTTTACAGAAAAAACCTAAGAATATGAATCCTTGCAGTCACGAAAGCTTCAAATCTAGAATTATGGGCTTCACATCTTGACACAAACTTTTGGCGTCGTCTGGTCCAACACCAGGGTGAGACTGGGCTCTAAGAAAAGCTGTCTCGGGTGTGGACCAATCAACTTCAAGGACAGTGCATATCATCATCAGAGCTGTTTCTTTTTGTTTGCATTTTGACTGCTTGTGTTGTGTATTATTGCAAACATGATGCCTTGTATAAAGGTGTCAGTTTTTGTACCAGTTGAAAGGGTAAAAACCTATTACTTTATTTTGCCACTGGCAAAGGAGATGTCTCATAGTACAAACTGTTTGATGGCCGGGTGAAAGGGTGGACGGCCTCTTGTTATACTTGTCACGCCGTCCAGGAAGCAGCCACGAGCTGCTCGATATGTTCCTGGGAGTGGCATTGTCTGGTCCGACACTTTGGTGTGGACCAATCAGTGTGCAAGACAATGGCGATGTGTGTGTGTATAATGTTGTTGTTGTGCTGCTGCTGCTGTTGAAGCTGAGGATCAAGGACTGGACGCTGGTGCTGGACAGCGTGGTGCCCTCTGACGCGGGCAACTACAGCTGTGTGGTCAGCAACCAGCACGGCTCCATCCAGCACTCGTACCAGCTCGTCGTCATCGGTGGTGACCCCCCCCCCTCCACTCTCCCCCCTCCCCCCTCCACTCTCTTCCCCCTCCCTCTCCCCTCCCTTTCCCCCTCCCCCCTCCCTCTCCCCCTCCCTCTCACCCCTCCATCTCCCCCCTTCCCTTTTTTTCTCTTTTTTTTACGATTAGTGGAAACAAGAAGATGCTCGGTGTAGTCGACACTTTGCTTCGTTCATCATTTCGTAATTTTTTTCCTCCCCTCCCTCTCCTCTCCCCCCTCTCCTCCCTCCCTCTCCCCTCCCCCCTCCCCTCCCCCCTCCCCTCCCCCCACCCCCTCCCGCCCCTCCCGGCGTGCAGAGCGTGGCCAGCCCCAGCGGCCGTCGCTGCAGGACGGCCTCCCGGCGAACGTGACGGCGGCGGAGGGGAGCGACGTGGAGCTCCGCTGCGTCGTCCTGCAGAGCGCTGGCGGCAGCAGTCAGCAGCAGCTGCACCACCACGTGCAGTGGCTCAAGCACGTGGAGGTGAATGGCAGCCTCGAAGCACCCAATGGCTCACCCTACGTGCACGTCCTCACGGTGAGCGGGCGAGGCACGGGGGCACCCACCCACTCACTCACCCACCTACTCACCCACCAACTCACCCACCCACCCCACTCACCCACTAACTCACTCACTCACTCACTGACACACTTACACACTCACTCACTCACCCACCCACCACCACCCACTAACTCACCCACCACTCACCCACTCACTCACCCACCCACCCACCCACTAACTCACCCACCCACTCACCCACCGACTCACTCAATCACTCACTCACCCACTCACCCACCCACCCACACACTCACCAACTCACCCACTCACCCACTCACTTACCCACTAACTCACTCACCCACCCACTCACCTACCCACCCACCTACTCACCCACCCACCCAGTCACCCACCCACCTACCTACTCACCCACTCATTCACCCACCCAGTCACCCACCCACCCACTCATTCACCACCCACTCACCCACCCACCCACTCACCCACCCACCTACTCAGCCACTCACCCACTCACTCACCCAGTCACCCACCCACCCACTAACTCACCCACTCACCCACCCACCCAGTCACCCACCACTCACCCACCCACCCACTCACCCACCCACCCACCAACCTACCTACTCACCCACTCATTCACCCACCCAGTCACCCACCCACCCACCCAGTCACCCACCCACCTACTCACCCACCCACTCATTCACCCACCCAGTCAGTCACCCACCCACCCAGTCACCCACCCACCCACTAACTCACCCACTCACCCACCCACCCGTCACCCAGTCACCCACTCACCCACTCACTCTCCCACTCACTCACCCACCCACCCACTCACCTACTCACCCACCCACCCACCTACCTACTCACCCACTCATTCACCCACCCAGTCACCCACCCACCCACTTAATCACCCACCCACCCACTCACCCACCCACCTACTCACTCACCCACCCACCCAGTCACCCACCCACCTACTCACCCACCCACCCACCCACTCATTCACCCACCCAGTCAGTCACCCACCCACCCACTCACCCACTCATTCACCCACCCACCCACCTACTAACTCACCCACCCAGTCACCAACCTACCCACCTACTCACCTACTCATTCACTTACCCACTAACCCACCCACCCACTCATTCACCCACCCACTCACCCACCCAAACTCAGCGGAGGCTGACGTCACCCTCTAAACAACAGGACCCAGAAGCCACCGCTTCGCCGGGTACTTACTGCTGGTACCTAATAAATAAATAAATAACGTTGAAACTTGTTCACGTGACACTGAATCTTACTCGTTGGCCATGTCGGGTGGTGGCGAGTTCGACGACACAACGCTTACATGCGACGCTCCAACCCAAATCACCCCTACCCCGCACAGCAGCCTGCGTCGTGGGTATACAAACAAGATGCTGATTCGCTCGCTCTCTCCGCGCCGCCCGCCGTGTCGCCTCAAGACGGTGGCGTGGAGGTGACGGACGTGGAGACGGACGTGCTGTACCTGCGCAACGTCAGCACGGACGACTCGGGCCGCTACACCTGCCTGGCGGGCAACGCCGCGGGATTCGCTCACCGCTCTGCATGGCTCCTCGTCGTGCCGCAAGAGACGCCGGCTGGTAAGATGTCGACTGCCTCGCCTGCTCTGCAGGAGGTCGTGGGTTCGATCCCGATCCTGACAATGCCTGCTGCTGCTGTATATTTGGAGTTTGCGTCTCTCTCTCTCATCATCATCACGGTGGCTGAG